TTTTCCTCTTTTCCTTCCAGGATGTAGAAAATCAACTTGCAATTAAATCCAAAACACTGGATGAGTTGAGACAAAGTTATCTGACGTTGGAGAGTGCAGCAGTGCCTTTGTTAGAAGATACAGCATCCAGAATTGATGAGTTATTTCAAAAGAAGAACAGTGTTGTCAGTCAGGTACTAGAATTCATTTCAATGGTGCTACTTCCTGTTCACATATTCTTTTATCTCATTCGTTGTTGCTGTTATTATTCTTTCATCATGGAGGCTCTGCTCTATAGCAAAATCTGAAAAGTTGCTGAGAAAAATATTGAAGTAGAGAGAAGCATTTCAACTCCCATTTTTTGTGCTGAATAATTAGAGGCAAAGCCACCAATTCTAACATCATTGACAGGCTGGAAATCCACTTGGTTATCTTTGTTTTGTCTAATGTACTCATGCAGACATAAATGTCTTCATCCCCCAAACCCATTAGAGCATCTGGCATTGTTTCCTGGCAAGCTATACAGGAACAGCTATGAAGCAGTGTCGCCATGTACAGGGAGGTGCCCCAGGCGGTGAGTGACCTTGTATCATGTGGCCTCTATAAGCAAGGAGCTTAGTCAGCTTAGGGAAAACTCCGTAGGCAGGAAGAAACAGAACAACAGCACAGAGAAAGTACAAAGAAAGAGAACGTGAAAGATGTCTGGTAATCTTATGAAAGGCATGTCAGCATCTGCACTTACCCCTTCCAGGAGGAGAGCACCAAAAGAGAAAAAGAATGGGCATCTCTAGACATTGCAACCTTGACATTTCCCCAGTATTTAGAGGGAAAACTCTAAATACTAACCAATTATAAATATGCCCATGGTTGTTAGAGAATCTTCACTGTAGGTTTTTTGTCATCTAATAAAATCTAATTTCAACCAATTATTCCAAGAGGGAATTGGAAATAACCTGTATGAATGAAATCCACAGGCACCTCTCAGCCTCATTCCTCCCCCAGGACTGCAGCAGGAAAATAGGGATGACCTTATTCAGTCATTCGTTAAAAGTCTCCTGTGTGAGGCACTATGCTCACTGCCTGAGGTACAAAGATAAACAAGAAAATAAGTGGATCTCTCACTCAGAGATCTCACCAGCTAGTGGAAGGAATGTATATGAACAGACAATTGCAATATAATAAAAACATAGAGGGTGAAAAATTAAACGAGATAACGCATGTAAAAAGCATGCGGATAGTACTGTCCTAAGGGTAGACATGTAGGTGAATGGAATTGAGAGTCCAGAAATAAGCCTTCACATTTGCATCAACTGATTTCCAACAAGATTCCAAGACAATTTAATGCAGGGGAAAGTCTCAACAAATGGTGCTGGGACAACTGGATATCCACATGCAAAGGTCTTAAGTTAGACCCCTACATTCATACCATATATATACCATAGATATAAAATTAATGTAAAGTGGATCAAAGATGTAAGTGTTAAGAGTTAAAATTCTGAAATTGTTAGAAGAAAACAGGCATAGATCTTCATAAGTGTGGATTAGGCAATGATTTCCTAGATATAAGCACAAGCAACCAAAGAAAAAATAGATGAACTGGACTTCATCAAAATTAAACCCTTTGGTATTTCAAAGGACACCATCAAAAAAAGGAAAAGGACAAACCACAGAATAGGAGAAAACAGTTATGAATTATATATGTGATAAGGGGCTTATACCTAGAATATATCAAGAACTGTTACAACTTAATAAAAGGGCAGAACAGAATTTTTAAATGAATAAATGATCTAAATAGACATTTCTATAAAGATAATACACATGGCCAATAAGCACATGAAAGATGCGCAGTGTCATTAACCATCAAAGGAATGAAAATCAACACCACAATGAAAAACACCCCCTAGAATAGGATAGCTATAATAAAAAGGCACTAATAAGTATTAGTGAGGATGTGGAGAAATTGTAACTCACATACTACCGGTGGGATGTAAGATAGTGCAACTGCATTGGAAAATAGTCTGGCAGTTCCTCAAGTGGTTAAACAGAGTTACCATACGAGTCAGCAATCCCACGCCTAGAGAAATGACCCAAGAGAAATGAAAACATGTGCACACCAAAAACTTGTGTGTGAATGTTCATAGCAATGTGATTCATTATAGCCAAAAGGTGAAAGCAACTCAAATGCCCATCAACTAATGAATGTATAAAGAAAATGTGGTCTCTCCATATAGTGGGCTAGTGTGCAGCCATAAAAAGGAATGAAGGCTGGCATGGTGGCTCACTCCTTAGCACTTTGGGAGGCCAAGGAGGAATGATTGCTTGAGGCCAGGAGTTCAAGACCAGCCTAAACAAGAACAAGACCCTGTCTCTACAAAAAATAGAAAAATTATCTGGGCATGGTGGTGCACACCTGTAGTCCCAGCTACTCAGGAAGCTGAGGCAGAAAGATTACTTGAGCCCAGGAGTTTGAGGTTGCAGTGAGCTATGATGTTGTCACTGTACTCTAGCCTGGGAAACAGCGAGACCCTGTCTCCCCCACACCGAAAAAAAGGAATGAAGTACTGATACGTGTTACAGTGCTCATGATCTTGAAAACATCATGCTGAGTGAAAGAAGCCAGTCACAGAACACCACATATTGTGTGATTCTATTTACATGAAATACTCAGAATAGGCAAATACACAGAGACAGAAAGATTAGTAAGTAGGGCAGGGCTAAGAGGAAAAAGAGAAGTGATTGCTAATGGTTATAGGGTTTCTGCTTGGCGTGATGAAAATGCTCTAAAATAGATTACAGAGATTGTCCACTTTAGGTGAGTTATATCTCAAAGTATTGTTAAAACAATGTAGAGGGCACAAGACATAGATCATCCATCCATAAGCTGTCCAGAGTCGATGTAGCCTGGTGTTTAAGAACAAGGGCTTCACAGTCTCTGTCTAAATAAAGATCCTGGCAGCACCATTCCTTGGTTGGGTTACTTAACCTCTCTAAGCTCTTGATTTCCTGGTCCCTAAGATGGGGATGAAAACACTTGCTTATTTTACGGTGTTGAAGAAATCCTGCCTTACTGGCCGATCCTAGTTTTAACATTTTGAAAATGTTCCTCTCGTTTCTAGTGCAGTGAATTTTACTTAATGATTTTCTTTTCCTTGCCCTCAAACCACATGTATTACATCTCCTCCGTGAAGCTATAATATCATAGGGAGTCACCCTTAAGAGTGCCAGAAGTTGCACCCGCTTCTCACGTGGCAGCTGAGAAAGCCTTGTGCGATGTGAGCTGTGGCAGTCCTGTGTAGCTGTGGGCCCTGCGGGGGACACAGGACTTGGTATCAGAATCATCCCTGCCACCCAGATAGGTGCCAGCTTCTGAGAGGGGTACAGCTATGAGGAGTTCCCTTCCTGCCTCTCTTTATTTTCTTGGTTTCTTTTGCTGAGCCACTCTGCCCTTATAGAGACATTCGGTCTGCATAATTGCTAATACGAAACTCAGATTTTAGGTCCCACTTTGTTTTTTATCTGTCCCTGCTTGGGGCAGAGATTGAGGAGCCCCCATCACTGTGGATGTGCTGGTGTTCCCATAGTTGTTAAGCATAAAACGGAGGGTCTGAGTGCAGGGCTGTGTGATTACGCCCCAAACTCAACATCCCCCTGCCCATGAAGATGGCCTGTGAGCCAACATAGTGCCACATGCCATTTCAACTCAGCTACTTTTTAAAAATTGAGATACGATTCATCATACCATAAAATCCACCCTCTTACTGTACAAAGCAGTGGTATTTAGTATACTCACAGAAACACACGACCATCAATACTGTCTAATTACCTCAAAAAGAAACCCCCGTACTCAATAGCAGTCATTCCCCCTTCCTCCCTCCCTTGGTCCCTGGCAACCACTAATCTACTTTCTCTGTGGATTTACCCATTCTGGACATTGCACATAAGTGGAATCATGTAATATAGGGGCTTCTGAGTCTGGCTTCTTCCACTGAGCATAATGTTTTCAAGACTAACGATATTATAGTACAGATCAGTACTTAATTTCTTTTCATGGCCGAATAATAATTCTATTGTATGCATAGACCACATTTATTCATCAATTGATGAACATTTGGGTTGTTTCCCCTTTTAGGCTATCAGGAATCATGCTGCTATGAACGTTTGTGTCCAGGCTTTTGTGGGAACATATGCTTTGAGTTCTCTAGGTGTATATGTAAGGTGTAATTATTGGGTCATGTAGTAACTCTAACTTTTTGAGGAACTGTCAAATGTTTTCTGCAGTGACTGTACCATTTTCTATTCCCACCAGCAATGTAGGATTCTAATTTTTCTACATCCTCATCAACACTTGTTATTGTCTGACTTTTCAGTCTAGCCACTAAAGTGGGTGTGAAGTGGTATCTCATTGTGGTTTTGGTGTATGTTTCCCTAGTGACTGTGTCTGAATTCACAGACTAAATTCACATGACTGTGGATGTTGAACGTCTTATGTGCTTATTGTCCATTTGTATATCTTCTTTGGAGAAATGTTTATTCACATCCTTTGCGCAGGTTTTAGTTTGGTTATTTGTCTTTTTATTGTTGAGTTGTGTTTTTTATGTGCTCTTTATTGTATCTGAGAACATTTTTGATAAGTAACAAAATGCTTCAACTCCTTTCCTCATTGTCCAGACACACTAGTGGATAAAATGTGCCCATGCTGAGTTTCCTCAGGCTTTGTACTTGCCCATTATTTAGGTAGAGTGTGTTCCTCTCCAGTGGGTGCCTGCTGTATAGTAGTAACCAGACTTAAGGGCCAGGTAACATCTTACACTTACAATGTTGTACTGGAGCATTTTTTACAGACACTGTTCTATTTGTGTGTTTCCATTTGTTATCTCTGTTTTGTGGATGAGGAAACCAACTCTAGGGTTCAGTAACCTGCCTAAGGTCAGAAAGCTAGTAGAGACTGAGCACGGAGGCTCACAGCTGTAATCCTAACACTCTGGGAGGCTGAGGTGGGAGGATTGCTTAAGCTCAGGAGTTCAAGACCAGCCAGAGCAAGAGTAAGACCCTGTCTCTACTAAAAATAGAAAAAATTAGCCGGGCAGGGTGGTGTTCACCTATAGTCCCAGCTACTCAGGAGGCTGAGGCAGGAGGATCGCTTGAGCCCAGGAGTTTGAGGTTGCTGTGGGCTATGATGACACTATGGCACTCTAGCCCAGGCAAGAGATTGAAACTCTGTCTCAAAAAAAAAAAAAAAAATCCTAAGATTTAAAAAAGAAAAGAAAAAAAAAAAAACAAGCTGGTAGAGTAACTGAACTCTGGCTGGTGTTCTTTCCCTGGCTTTCTCTGCCGAGGCTGAGCTCTTTCAGCACCAGTCCCTCTGATCAGAGGGCTCTTTCCATTCACCCCTTCTAAACCATAGTCTTCTCTGGTATTTGTTCATTGACCTGCCCTTTCCACCTTCTCGTCTGATACTCTCAAGTTGAAGTGCCTAAAGTGAATACAGTGGTAGATTCCTTGGAAGGAAAAAAATGACGAGAGAGCAGGTCTTCTCAATGATTTTCTAAATCAGTATGTTTCTACTGTTCATATAGGTCAATCAGCTCAAAACCTCCGTGCAGCCAGCCTTGCAGGAGTGGAAGATCTATGATAAACTCTATGATGAAGTGAATATGATGACAATCCGATTTGGGTACGGCGTGGAACACAGCAAGCCCCTGGTGTTATCCTTGGAGGCCCTGAGATACCAGGTGCAGAACCTTCAGGTAAATTAACCAGAGCTTGGCACCATGCATTATTGGCAGAAAATTTAAAATGGGAGGAAGCATAGTAATGGACATAATTGTGTTTGTGTTCTCCATGGAGAAGCACAAAATAATATATTGAATAGCACTATAGAAAGTATTAACTAAAAATTCCAAAATGAGTCACTTGAGCCAAATGAATAACACTTTGTAAAACTGTATATTGAGTTTTCCTTCGTTTTCCACATCCATATTGTTTCACAATTTAAATGTTTTGTTTTGATCTTGGTTTTTTTTAGTACACCTTTGTGTACCTAGGTACTTAATATTCCTTAATACTTAAAAATTCAGCCTCAAGTAAGGAATGCCTTCTCAGTTGTTCTCTTCTTCCCATTCCTAATAGTTTATCACAGTTCCATAATATTTGAGTGTGTATGTTATCATTATATAGCAAGTGTTGAGAAGCTCCTGCCTTCTTTGGAATTAGGCTGTTCTGAAACTTAAATTCCTTCTGTGTTCTCTTAGTCGCTGCAAGATGAAGCTGAGAGCAGTGAAGGGAGTTGGGAGAAACTCCGGGAGGTTATTGGCAAACTCAAAGGTCTCTGCCCCTCCGTTGCTGAAATAATAGAAGAGAAATGCCAAGATACTCATACAAGGTATGCTTTAAGATACATTTGAATGACAAATCCCTAACTTAATGACTCGAGGCTAATGAGGTGGCATAGGCCTTTATAAAGTCTTAATCCTCCATGATGACTGTTTTATACTATTCTGGTCTCTTCTGCCTTGAAGGGTCTAGTGTAAGATTTGATGTCACGAGGGCTATTACCTTCCTTGTACAATGTTTGGTATGCTCAATCTAGAAATGCCCTAATTACAGGCCCAGTGTAATCACTTACAGAGGGTATAGACTAAATAGCAAGTGCCATCTCAGGAGCACCAAAATGAGAGGCAGACACAGACTCAGGTGGGCCAGAAGGGAGTCTGCAGGGAGTGTCTGAACATCACTGGAAACTTCTAAGATGGAAGAAAGAAGGTGTGAGAATATCTCTTGGGGAGGTAATTTGTGAGGTCGGAAGGAATTCTTTGATGAACTGCTTATGGTGTGATATGAACACTCCTTTTAAGAAGTGTAGCCTTAGTTAATTGTAAGGCTTTTATTTTGATGAATAGGACACAAAAGTTGGCCTAAAGCTGATTTCTTGAGACAGTGAAGAGTAAGGCTATTTTTGAGGGTCCTACTTCACCCTTCCTCTGTGCAGATTTAGCCTCTCCTGTAAATCAATTTTGAACAAGTATCGAACAAGGGGCACCAAATTATATACCCTGCAGTTGGTCCTCAGCTTTTGATCCAGTCCTTACTGGAAGAGGGGGAGGCAAGAAGGTAAGAAAGAACGTGGAAATAGACTCCACATACAGTATCAGGGCCACCCTCAAAACCTATGGCAGCGCAGTTTGCTGTTAAAGGAATTCAGTCATCACACTGCATGTATACATTCAATTGTTGGCACAAGACTGTGTTGAAAAACATGCATAGCAAAAAGACTGAAGAAAAAAAAGAGTACCAAAATGCTAATAGTAGTTACCTCTAGGTAAATGAGATGTGAAGCATTTTTTTATTTTCTCATCAATTGATAGATAAAGAGTAGATCAAATGATTGATAGATAAATAGAAAGACACATGTTTTAAAGGGTTTTGTTTCTTTTTATTTTACAATGAACATATGTTTATAATTAGGGAAAATCTTAGTTCAAGATAGTTCTTGCCAGGTGCAGTGGCTCACACCTGTAATTCTAGCACTTGGGGAGGCCGAAGCAGGAGGATTGCTTGAGACCAGGAGTTCAAGACAGCAAAAGTGAGACCCTGTTTGTACAAAAAATAGAAAAATTAGCCAGGTATGTTAGCACACACCTGCAGTCCCAGCTACTCAGGAAGCTGAGGCAAGAGGATCACTTAAGCCCAAGAGTTTGAGGTTGCAGTGAGCTATGGTGACACCACTGCATTCTACCTGGGCAACAGCAAAAAAAAAAAAAAATGTAAGATTTTTGAAATACATAAAAGTTATGCAGCTTTGCCATTTTTTTTTTTTTTACCCTTAAACCAGTTAGTATTGTGGAGCAATCATTCTCATGCATTTCAGGTGAGAATGTGAGTATTTTAATGCCTTCAGAAAGTGGTTTGACCATATATACCTATAACCTTACAAATATTTATATTCTTTGACCCAGTAATTCTCTAAGAAATCTAAGACTAATATCTTAAAATACAGAAAAAAAGTTTGTTTTTTTTGTTTTTTTTTTTTTTTTTTTGAAACAGAGTCTCACTCTTGCTCTGAGTAGAGTGCTGTGGTGTCAGCCTAGCTCACAGCAACCTCAAACTCTTGGGCTCAAGCAATCCTCCTGCCTCAGCCTCCCAAGTAGCTGGGATTACAGGCGTACATCCTGCTAATTTTTCTATTTTTGATAGAGATGGGGTCTTGCTCTTGCGCAGGCTGGTCTCGAAATCCTGAGCTCAAGCAATCCTCGCGCCTCGACCTCCCAGAGTGCTAGGATTATAGGTGTGAGCCATGGTGCCTGGCCTAGAAAAAACGCTTTATGAACAAAGTTGTATCTAAGCATCATGTATAATAGCAAAAATTGCAAATTTCTTCAATATCCATACTAAATAGGAATTTGGCAATTAAAGTAAAACGATGACGAAAAGCCATTTGCAGACCATTATGTGTACAACCATTTAAAATTAAAAGTTAAATGGGAAAGAAAGGTAAGATACTACAGACTGTATGTGGAATAAAACAATATTTCCACTTTTATATAAGGAACACGTTGCTTTTGTTATTGGAAAATAAATTTTATTTGATACAAACATAATTTAAATAAGGCCTATTTGAAGACATGCTCTGTAAACTGGAAGCCTCTCCTATGTGGAAAAGTTTCATACAGTTCGCTGCTTTCTCCATCTATGCAGAAGAGACATTCATAATATAATAGACATTTCTTGCCAATCGCAAATTTTGTAGTTTTTATTGAATATTATAAAGTCAAGCAAATAGGTCAATTTAGATTTGTTTATATAATGATGATTTCATTAATTTAAAAAAGCATTTAATAGTATCTTCTTAATGATCCATCTGCTGATAACTTCCTGGTAGAGTATGTCATGGTACCTTTGCTACAAGGGAAAGGACGGAATGAGCATCCTGTTCATGTTGCACTGACAGGTGGACCCAGGTAAACCAAGACATCGCAGACGAGTTGCAGAAGGCCCAGAGTCTGCTCCAGCTCTGGAAGGCCTATAACAGTGCCCATGCTGAAGCCGAAGCAAGGCTGAAGCAACAGGAAGCAAAGTTTCAACAGCTCGCAAACATCAACATGTCTGGAAACAACCTGGCAGAGATCCTTCCACCGGCCCTGCAGGACATAAAGGTGGGTGCAAAGCCCATTTGGAAAACTAAGTCCAAATCAGCCCTTTAGACAGGGATGGTGACCCAGGGATGAGACAGACCACAGGGACAGAGAAGTCGGTCAGGACAGGTGCTGTGGGCGAGCCATGTGGGTTTGGGACGACCAGGTGGCGCCTCAGAGGCAAGGTCCAGGCAGCAGGTAGCTGTGTCAGGGGGACCTGACACCACCTTGTTCCAAGTCTGCCCTTTCACTCCAGCAGTTAAATCTCTAAAGCAAAAGCCTCATATGAAGTCTAACGTAAAAGCCCAGAGTGTCTCAACGGAGTGTGAGCGTCTAAGAATAATAGATGTTGGATCTCTTGCTTTAGCAGTAATTGTGGACTTGGCTCTTTTTCTGTGGTGATAGTGATTTTTAGACTATGTTAAAAAGTTGTATAATTTCCTCTGTGGTGTTTTTCCTATTACTTTTAAAGAATGCCCAGAAAGTGAATACTTTTTAATTTTAAATTGGATGAACAGATACATTTTATATTTTCTGGTCCTATAGGACAAATCAAAAAGTAGTAACCAGTTTAATTAGATAAGAATCCAAGAGATATGATCTGTACCTTTGATTGACTTGATCTGTTGTTTAAAAACAAAACAACCCAGAAATTTCACACACATGGTATTTCCAGAGTAGCCCTTACAATCAGCTTGATTAATGAGATTCTATGGTCTCTGCAAAAGGATCCATTTATTAATATATCAGAAAGTCTAAGCAGGAGACTGGGTTGCGTTGATTCTTGAAGTGGTATGAAAGCAGATACTTTAAGTGTTAAATAATTAGAAATATAAGCACATGAATCTACCCAGGTGGTCTCTAGTTTCTGTATATCAGAAGACTCCCAACTCTATAGGTCAGTAGTCAGTTTTAGCTCTGAACTGACAAATTTCAGAACAGCACCAGTGGTGTACATCATTTAAAGAAATTTCAGCCTTTTTAGCTATTTAAAACAAACTATAACAAAAAGCCACACCCACAATTTCAGGGCACAAATTCTCCTAGATGTTGATGGAGCAGCAAGGGGTAGGGAGAGTGTGGTGAGAAAGGAGGAAGAAGTGTTTTGTGATCCCTTTTTCTTCTCCAGGAGCTGCAGCGTGACGTGCAGAAGACAAAAGAAGCCTTTCTCCAAAATTCTCCTCTTCTGGAACGACTCCCACAGCCCACAGAATCCAGCACACACATGCTCCTCCCTGGTCACCTGCACTCCCTCCAGAGGGCTGCTTATTTGGAAAAGATGCTGCTTGTGAAAGCAGATGAGTTTGAGGTTCATCTTATTTTTCCATCCAAGTTTTAGTCTTGGACATCTGTGTACCGCCCTCAATCCCTTGTACCCTTTGCAGTAATAGTGCTCCTGAGAGAAACCACAGAGTGAGGCTGCCCCAGACATACATGAGCTGAGCTTCAGTCACATGAGCAGGTTTTAAGCAACCTTTTCTTCTTCACTGAACATGTTCATTTAAGAAGTGACAGATGTATTACATTTCATACATTGCTCAGATCTCACAGTCATTTGGATTTCTGAGTTGGGTAACTGAGTCATAGAATTAGCTGCTGAGGCCGGGTGCGGTGGCTTGTGCCTGTAATCCTAGCACTCTGAGAGGCCGAGGCGGGAGGATTGCTTGAGGCCAGGAGTCTGAGACCAGCCTGAGCAAGAGGGGTGACCCTGTCTCTACAAAAAATCGAAAAATAAGCTGGGTGTTGTGGCACATGCCTGTAGTCCCAGCTACTTAGGACGCTGAGGCAGGAGGATCGCTTGAGCCCAGGAGTTTGAGGTTGCTGTGAGCTATGATGGTGCCACTGCACTCTATTCAGGGCAACAGAGCAAGACCCTATCTCAAAAAAAAAAACCTACTGAAAGCATGGCCATTTGTTGTATTCTTTATTCACTTTTTAAAAAGGCTTTAGTGCATAAGCTGTCAAAAAGCTACATAGAAGGCTGTGGAGCTCCAATATCTCATCTCAGTACCAACAGGAAAAAAATATTTAACCAGTGGGTCTGAGAGAGCAGAGTACTCACTGACCTTCTTCCGTGTGGTCCCCTCCAGCAGGTGACCCGTCCATCTGGGAAGGCTCAAAGTCACAGAGTGAAAATCCAGGGGGCTTCTGAATATTTATCTATGAATATTTAAGATGATAATGAGCTGCTGGGGGTTGAAAACAACTTGAACTTTTATCAGCTCCCAAGGCTGTGTTTAATTCTGTTTTATATGCACTTGAAAATAGTTTCCAATGAAAATTTCTCTCGTTCTAGTTTGTTCTCTCACAGTTTAAGGATTTTGGGGACCGGCTGGAATCTTTAAAAGGTCTTATTATGCATGAAGAAGAGAATTTGGATAGTCTCTACCAGCAACAAAAAGAAGAAAATCCTGACTCATTCCTGGTATTGCCAATATTTGTCTTTCCTACGGGCTTAGACTCACCGTAGGATAAAAAATAAGCTAATTATTGTTAGGTTATACAATCTGCATCCTAAGTAACTCTTGCACACAGTCATTTATATGCCATTCATTATTGTCCTATTTTCCCTAAGGTCTAGAAAAAGCAGGACAACATAGGGATCTGTTTTAGTAATATGCCAGAGTAATTTTTTAGTAGATTTTTTTTATCTTGACATCTTTATTAATTAGCATCAGTGACATAGAATAATCTAGGAATTGGTTGTGATTAATTGAATTTTTCTGGCTAGTTTAAGATCAAAAGTAAAATACTCTATTAAAATTACGCATTTTCCTTCTTTAGTACCTTAATAGTTTAGTAAACATAAATGAATGAAGAAATAATTCTGGATCTTGCCACTCCTAGGAATCAGTATCCGTAACCTTCATCGGCAGTCAGCAAACTGGGGCACACTGTCCAAATCCTAGTCCACTACCAATGTTGGTCAATAAAATTTTATCAGAACGCAGCCACGCCCTTCCATGTACATATTGTCTGTCAGCATCTTCATGCTTCAAGGGCAGAGTTGAGTAGTTGCTACAGAGACCATATGGCACACAAAAGCCTAAAGTAGTTATGATCTGGCCCTTTGTAGAAAAAGTATGCTGACCCTGACCTGGAATTTTATAGCACAGTTCTATAGTGATAACTTGGATGTTGGTAAGGATGTTTGCTTGACGTAGTGTTGACCTAGAGGCTGTCCCTGGAATATCTTTTTAAAAATAAAATTTTGGTGAGTTTGCTTTCTTATGATTTCACATTCTATCAAAATGTGGGTGTTTTAAGTATCATACCTTGCTAGGGCTATTTTGAGGATCAAATTTTCATTGCTCCATGCTTGACCTGTTGAAGGTCAAGTTGTTGACAGATTAAATGGAACTTGAAGGTCCAGAAGTGGTCCTTTTTTTTTTTTTCCAAGAAGCCCATTTTCTATATTCTTCAAAGACAAAATCTGAGATCACTTTCTATTTCCTGGGTTGTTTAGGTGCTAGCCGTTTGTGCAGGTTGGTATTCTAGAAAAAGCACAGCATTGGGAGAGCCGAGTTCAGGCCCAGCGCTAACTAGCTGTTTGACTATGAGCAAGTCATTTGCCTGTTTAGGCCCCAGTTTTTCATCGTCTTTGAGATAAGGAGGGCTTTTTGTCATCTAGATATCTTATTGGCATCCAAAAATCTGGACTTCAACTTTTTTTTTTTTTTTTTTTTAATAGAATCATGTGCTGGCACTGACAGCCCAATCACCTGATATCGAACATTTGAATGAAGTAAGCCTCAAGCTCCCGCTGACTGACATAGCTGTAAAGACATTACAAAATATGAACCGGCAGTGGATTCGGGCCACAGCCACAGCTCTGGAGCATTTCAGGTCAGAACTTCCCATCTCTGCCATTGTTTCAGTCAAAGTAAAATTAAGCTCAGGAATGTCATTGTTACATGGATGTGTCTTGCTTGTTGTAAACCTTTGTAGTGAGCTTCAGGGAATTGGATTGAATGAAAAGTTTCTTCATTATTGTGAAAAGTGGGTCCAACTTTTGGAGAAGATGGAAGAGATGCTCAAAGTGAATATTGCCGACAGTCTTCCAGCTCTCCTGGAACAGCAGAAAACCTATGAGGTAAACTCGTGGTCTCTGCCGCCCTTGAACCATTCATTCTGGGGCAGGAGTCAGGGAAAGATAGATTTAAATAAAGTAGATTTAAATAGGTACAGGGAGTACCTATCAATCTCTAAATACAGTGTATATCTTTAAGCAAATGCAGTTGTCAATTGATTGTTTGTAAAATTCTCGCACATTTCTTAAGTTTCAACATTTTAGTCCACTACTATCTTTTATTAGTGACAGCACTCCTAGATTTTCTGCAGTATGTGGAAGCTTCTTGTGCAACTTTGCTTCCACAGAATGCAAACAACATTCTACCAAGAGCATGTTAAAGTACTTCAACTCATCTTTGCATTTTCACTGAATAATTCTCTACAGCAGCGGGCCCCAACCTTTTTGGCACCAGGGACTGTTTTCATGGAGGACAATTTTTCCATGGATCAAGGGTGGGAGTAGGTTTTGGGATGATTCAAGCACATTACATTTGTTGTGCAGTCAAACCTCTCTGCTAATGATAATCTGTATTTGCAGCCACTCCCCAGCGCTAGCGTCACCACCTCAGCTCCACCTCAGATCATCAGGCATTAGATTCTCACAAGGAGCGCGCAACCTAGATCCTTGCATGCACAGTTTACAGTAGGGTTCACACTCCTATGAAAATCTAATGTTGCCACTGATCTGACAGGAGGCGGAGCTTATGCAGTAATGGCGAGTGATGGGGAAGGGCTGTAAATACAGATGAAGCTTTGCTTGTTCATCAGCCACTCACCTCCTGCTGTGCAGCCTGGTTCCTAACAGGCCATAGACCAGTACAGGTCCAGCCCAGGGGTTGGGGACCGCAGCTCTACGGTATTGAAGCACCTGGTATAATTGTGTCTGCAGCATTAATAATTTCACAGAGGAGTTTCCCCTATGCTTGTGCTGATGTATGTTTGAAAATACTCCTAATGGTTGTAAGCAGACCTTGCATTTAAAAATGTGCAGGATTAGTTCACTAAAACTTTTTAATGTAACTGATTTAAGTCTACATTGTTACCTTAACATCATCCAAGGAAAATGAAATTGGCCCTGCCAAAAAGCTGAGTGACCTCAAGTTACTGAACTTCTTTTTTTTTTTTTTGAGACAGAGTCTCACTCTGTTGCCTGGGCTAGAGTGCTGTGGCGTCAGCCTAGCTCACAGCAACCTCAAACTCCTGGGCTCCAGCGATCCTTCTGCCTCAGCCTCCCTAGTAGCTGGGACTACAGGCATGCGCCACCATGCCCGGCTAATTTTTTCTACATATTTTTAGTTGTCCAGCTAATTTCTTTCTATTTTTTTTTTTTAGTAGAGACGGGGTCTCGCTCTTGCTCAGGCTGGTCTCGAACTCCTTAGCTCAAATGATCCGCCCGCCTCAGCCTCCCAGAGTGCTAGGATTACAAGTGTGAGCCATGGTGCCTGGCCTACTGAACTACTTTATACCTTAGTTTCCTCCTCTTCAAATGGATATAATAATAGAGTTTAAATCCAAAGGTTGAGAAATAAATGAGACAATGCATGTTGTTCACAGTGCCTAGCAAACAATAAATGCCTAATAAATGGGCATTAGATGTAGTTATTAGACCTGTTTGCTTCTAAGGTTATATTCATAGGTGATATTGATATGATAGTCAACCATTTTTTTCAGTTAGGCTCAAATAATTTAAAAATTAATCATCCCTTATCCTCTACATGCTTAGATACTAATAGGAAATGTAAGTTACAGATTTGTAAAATGAATTCTGCTAGCTGATATTTTCTATTTGGCCTCATGCAGATGTTAGAAGCTGAAGTTTCTGTAAACCAAACAATTGCTGATTCTTATGTCACCCAGTCCTTACAACTCCTGGACACACCAGAAACAGAGATGAGGTAAGCTGCCTGGGCTTATGAAGGTTACAGGCATATGGGGGGCAGGGCAGTCAGGCAGGGCAGTCCTTCCGCCCTCAATCTGGACCACGTTGGCACCCTGCAGCCACATTGGTTGATAGATCACCAGGGGCCAGTCTTCTGACTATATATTAGGACCAGGTCTTGCCGTGTAGCCATACATTGGTGGCACTTTTCCCTAGGGTAGGGAAGTGGGGTCAGAGCCCCTAAGTTTTCGAAAATACCCACTCAAGTGTAGTGAACTAAGTTTTTACCCCAAATGATTCTTCTATAATATGTTTTCCTCTCTACCCTCACCCTTGTGACATTTTGCTGTTTAAAAAATAATTTTCAAAGTCCTGCTGTTCCCAGCAGGTAGCTGTGTCCTAATTGTGAAAGAAGGGACTTCTCTCTATGCTGTGTGCATGGGGTTGGGCTCACTGGGCAGCGCCAATCAGCTGAGCAGAGCCCCCACTGCCTGCTGGTGATAAGGGAGCCCGCTCATGTGGCTGGAACCACATGGCAGATAGCCTGGAGGTGGCCCAGCCGCTTCAATACTTCTCTAAATGTCCTGATACGTATTGTTTGTCCTCCACATCACCACCCAGATACCCCTGAATCTTCTTTCAGCATAACTTCCTAGCTCTGAAGTAACAAGTTCAAGCTAATTTCAGTTTGATCAGTGTGGCAAAGCATGACTTTCCCATAATAAATAAAGGCCTTATTTCTCATGCGAAGGGTAGTATTTATCTGGAAAAGAACTAGCTGAGTAGTTGCAATAAAACATGTTCTTTATTGCTAAAATTATGTCAAGTACATGCTCAAGTAATCAGTAGCATTACAAGGTACCTACCTGTTTGTTTCCTGTTGATCCACTTTCTAGTTTTCCATGCAGCATTTGGCATAGTGTATATTAGACAGCTTCAGTTTGTTTAAGGGAATGGCTGTCATGCATGCTGGCAAAATACCAGGTTATGTGCAGATACCTCCTGCTAAACCCTTTTTGCCAACCTGCATGCTGCCCCCACCCCCACCCCGAAGCTCCCATCATGTTTAAGTTGAATATTACTCAGGTTTTCAGAAGTTAGGGGATTTTTTTTCCATATAAACTGTACATATAAATAGTGAATCTGAGCTTCTGTTACCCATTGATAGTTGTTTTTTCTACATGTTGATGACAGGATTCTCTAACCATCTGGTTTTCCCCAGACCAGAATTTGTTTCAGAATTCTCAAAGCTCACAGACCGGTGGCAGAGCGCTGCCCGGGGCGTTCGGCAGAGGAAGGGCGACATCGATGAGCTGGTGAGGCGGTGGCAGTACTTCACCACTTCCGTGGAGGACTTGCTCCGCTTCCTCGCCGACACCAGCCACCTGCTCTCTGCAGTGAAGGGCCAGGATCGCCATAGCCTCTACCAAACCAGAAGTCTCATCCATGAGCTGAAGGTAGCGCATGCGTAGTAGCAGTCTGAGAACCACAGGGTGGCCATCGTTTGCAAGATGTTCAATCACCTCTGGTTTTACATTTTTTATGATGTTGTGATCCAAGTACAGCCTGGTCCCTAGCTTATAGGGTCAGAAACCCACCATTCATCCACAAATAGTGAGGCTCTCTTGGGCCGTGAGAGGAGGCAGCATGGAGTGGTGATGAGTGAATGGAGGAAGTTCAGGGTGACAGACTCCCACCACCCAAGCTCATAAGGCACTGATTAATGTATAAAATTGACCACCAGTGTAGTAATTTACAGTGACAGTCCTGCTTACCCTTGAAGGGCAAATTCTTCCAGGTAACAAAAATTTCCATCATAAAATTGCTTGATGAGCACAGGATTAGAATAAGAAGCTGGGTGTGTTCCATGGAGCTGTGGAGCTACTCTTCACCTAAAGTGGACAGCTAAACAAAACCTCCCTTCTGAAATCCTGTGCATTCCTCACTCATTTATCCGGTCACCGAATATTAATTGAGTACCTGATCTTCGACAGTCACTATCCTAAGTGCTGGGCGTATTCTGTGGACTAAGAGAAGACCTCATAGGGGCAATCAGACAAATTAGTAAATAGGAAAAATTCATCAGACAAAGGTAGAAATCCCAGCATCTCACTTACCTATGGCTGCATCCCGGCAATCATTATTCTCTTTCGTAGTTCTAGGTGTCACAGGGCTCAGTTAGGTGGTTCTTGCTTAGGTCGGCTGTCTCAGGCAGTTTCAGTCAGATGGTGGCTGGGGCTGGTGTCATCTGCAGAATCACTCACTCTCGTGACTGGCACTTAGGCTGGAAAGATTCCAACAGCCAGGACTGGGACAGCCGGGGCTCTTTGGGGTAACGCTCTGTGGTCTTGATGCTTGGAGGCTTCGGTGGCCCAACTTCTTATGGTGACTCATAACTTCCAGGGCTCATGTCCCAAGAACAGCTATGTCCCTGTTTAGACCCAGCCTCAGAAGTCACATATGTCACTTCCACCATACTCTAATCATCAAGGCCAGCGGATTCAAGAGGAAGGGACAGAGACCTCACCGTTTGATGAGGAGTGGCAAGGTTCTGGAAGAACATGTGGGCCTGGGAACATTGTCATGGCCATTTTATGAAAAGAACAGTCTTCCATACCAGTTAGGAAGCTATTTCAATAGTCTTGGAGAGTTGGTATGGTGGCTAAGATAAGGGTGATCTCAGTGGAGATAAAAAAGGATATTTTTGTAGGTAGAGTTTCTAAGACTCACTACCAGTTTGGATGTAGCAGGTAAAGAAAAAGCTAAACCAAGGATGACTATAGGTTTTGGCTCAAGCATCTTGGTGAATAGTGTGCTGCTGACCACACGAGGGGAGACTGGAGGGACACCAGGTCTCCTATCCAAGTGGCCAAGTCAAGCAGCACAGTATGTTGGAAGGATGGGTGTGGAGTGAGTGTGGTCGTTGCGTTGCTGTTTCTCTTATTTGAGTGCCACTCCTGGGAGTGTATTCTGCTTTTCCCCTTTGGATTTGGATGATCTCCGGTCTTCTGAAAAACATCTTTGTAAATTAGTGCTCTTGTTGTTTGTCAGCTTCCAGTTTGGAAAATGCCTACATTATGTCTCCCTGGAGAAGTTTGAAGATGAAAGAACTCATATTTAGAACAGAAAAAATTTTAATTTTTTCCCCCTAAAATCAAATGCTTTGGGAAGTATGAATCAACTAAAAAATTTTTAGTTCACTTTTGTATTATAAATAACTAGTTTCAATCTGTTTAAAGAAAAGCCTACATGATATTCAGATAGAATTTTTTAAAGCTGTCCCTTCAGTGCATACATCGATGTACATGTTTATGTGCCTACAGTAATTTTAAATATTTCTCCGTGCTTCTAATCCTTACACTAAGAATCTTATCTCACCAATCTTTGGCAGTTATTTTCAGAACACTTCATTTGGTGGTATGCTTGTCTACTTGATGTAAAACATTAGTCACTAATGTGAATGAGTGTGTGCATTCTGACCAGATCTGTCCAATTTATATCTATTTTAACACTTTAGGAAAGCTTTGAAGAAAACATACACAATCACATTTTGATCACATCAGAAACTTAAGCAAATCACTTTTTTTTTTTTTTTTTTAGAATAAAGAAATCCATTTTCAGAGATGGCAGACTACCTATTCACTAACCTTGGAAACTGGGGAAAAGTTACTGCACACAACTAACCTGGAAACTAAAGAGTCAGTTCACGAGAGAATCAGTCAACTTCAAGACAACTGGAAGGACACAAAGCTCCAACTAGCAGAGATGATTAAGCAATTTCAGAGCACTGCAGAGGTAAACTCACCACTTACTTTTCCACTCATGGTATGCAAAGTCGGTATATATGATTTTTGTTTGCTGTGTGAAAATGGGAATGATTTGGGGAAATCACAGTATCATGGGTTTTCCAACTCACGTTCTACTAATCCATGAGTCATGCCAGTTACTTAATGTGAAATGATAATAGAGCAGTGAAAAAGCTCAATGTTAAGTACATAAATATGTATGATTCTGTTAAGATTAAGATATTATATTTCCCTTGGTTTTTTTGAGAACCATGGATCTGGGATAAGATACTTACCTCTATGAAACAGGAAACTTTTCCATGTTCGATAGAAGTTCAATACACAAAGCTAATGTTCCACGTACAGTCTTTCCTTGGGTTTAATATATGAAAATAAACCCAGAGATACTGCATTTTTGTGCTATCATCAGAGAATGCACTTTTCCACATAAGTGAATTTCCCTGATAATTTATGATTATACCTTTAAGAACCAAAATGTTTGATTTTGAGTCATTATTGGGAAAATCATTATGGTTTTGTTATGCTAAAAAAGCAAGTTTTTCTAAAGGGTTCTGAGCTGCGTTAAACCCATAGCCCACCTGGCACTGCTGTGCTGAGTTCTGAGGTGGTTTTTATGGTTTTTCTTTCTTTCCTCTTAATGTTAAGCTGTCTCTCTTTACTTTTTATTTCTCTGAGCTTACCTACTCCTTATAGCTCACTCTCCTCTATAGTCAAGCTTGGCAGAGATATTTTTCTGAATTAAGAGTAAATATATGCTGAGTTAGGGCCTGAGGGTCTCTCCTGTCAATAAAGTGTCCGAATTTTTTTTGGTATATAGACTGTATGAAATTCATTAACTAGCAAACATTTGTTGGGCATCTGCCATGTTTGTAAAGCATAACGGTAAATACATAAACAGTTTGGTGGGAGATACAAGGACTCAAAGTTTTGCTTCTCTCTTTGATTTCTTCTTAGTCGAGTTCCAGATAGTTGATGTTGCTAGACAAGCGGCCTCCCCTTAAGTGAGGTGTTACTGTAGAATTAGTCCAACCCAGACATGTTTAGCTGTCAGCTATGCTGAGGAATAGAATGGTGTTTCATTGTGTGTTTGTCTACTTTTAGTAACCTCAGCAGTAGAAACTTATCCTAAGAATCAAATATAAATATCCTGAACTTGAAAACGCAGGCGCCTATTTGCTCAGTAGTGTAAGGTTTGAGGAAAAGAGATGGTCAATCCTCGACTAGGCTTTTAACCTCACATCTGTGGGCTCGTCATTTTTCTCTGAGCCTTAGTTTTCCTGTTTTAAATGTGATAATACTTGCCCAGGCTGTCTCCTAAAATTATTATAATTACAATGAGTTAATAAAGTTGAAAGTGCTTTGTAGCCAAGCTGTAGCAAGGGGAAGAGGACCAGCAGGGGGCTGACATTGGAAAAGAAGACAAGGAAAGTGGTTGAGTGCTTTTAAAGCATACGCCCACGACTGTTAACAATCAGTCCTTCAGTAGCCTTTTAGAGGTGAACTTTTCCAAAAGTAAAATAGAAATAAGATTGGATAGATGAGGGATAGGGGCAGAGAGGAAGAAATATTTTCAAGGAGAGGCCAACCCAGTGGTTGAAGTGAGCCGCGGTACGGCCACAAAGAGGCATCGAGTCATGTTGCGTCCTGCTGCTCTGCTAGACCACAGGCTACTCAAGACGAGGAGCTGGGTTTCCATGTGATTTGTAAAAACACACTTCCTGGAAAGATTACATGGTTTAAATGAGCTATGTGTACTGTCCATTCTAATGAGAAAAGTACTTACCAGTCTTAATACTGTTTTCAAATAGACCTGGGACCAGTGTGAAAAGAAAATTAAGGAGTTGAAAAGCAAGCTTCAAGTTTTAAAGGCACGAAGTAAAAATCCTCTTCCGGAACTTCATGAGGACCTCCATAATGAAAAAGAGCTGATTAAGGTATGGAAATCTGAACTTGCGGTCAAGATAATCACTTAGCTGTTTTCTGAAGTACTGGTTCACCTATTTCTGTGCTGAAACTGAGTTTTCATGTTCAATTTTCTCTGTCTTCTAACATAACATCCTGGTCTCTGAAGGAATTAGAATTGATAATTTTTGTGATCCTTATTGGAAAATGAGAAGGACTTTTGCAAATACTCACTCCGTAAGCTCTTGGGGGTTTTCTCCTTCGGATCCTTTCTCCCTCTGTTCCTCCTCTGTAATATAAGATGTGGCCTCTGAGATTACCATAAAAGCTGTTCCCTCATCAAATGACCTTGCCTTTAAAAATAAAGTATGACTAAAGAATTTAAGTTTTTTTTTAAAGCCAGTCGGTTGAGTTTTTTGCTTAAGTATAACATTTTTATACAAGCTTCCAAACTATATTCTGCTTAATTGATACCATACTAGCAAAAATTCCTGGATATTTGAGGCCTTTGCAGAAGACAAGGCAAACTTATGGATAGGAATTTGGACCAGTAAAACTCCAGGTCAGTAACTTCCTGCATTTCTTTCCTATCTGCAGGTTTGGTGTTTAAAAAACATTGAGAGCCTACTAGAGTGGTCTTTTAAATTTTTTTCTTCCTTCAGTGACTTAAGGGATCAAATTCAAAAAATTGGGAAGAAATGGATAGTTTCACACTTCAAGCTGTGCTGGAAATTAGTGTCCTTCCCCCCTATATCTTTTTTCTTGTAAAAATTTTAAATGTGCGAAAAGGCATTACAAATTATATTACAAACTGCCATGAAACCATCACCCAGCTGAGTAAATAAAGCATTACAAACACAGTTCAGGTGATCTGCAGTGTACTTCCCCTCCCCCAGATGTCTGCAACCTTGAATTTGGTGTTCATCATTTATGCATTTCTTCATAGTTTTAGTACATGTAAGTATAGCTCTCAAGGAAATTTAGAAGCGTTTTCTGTTTTTAAACTTTATATAAGCAGATATGATATAGCACATGGAATGCAACCTTTCCCCCTCATTATGATTTTTTGTTTTTTGAGGCAGGGACTCACTCTGTTGCCCTGGGGTGGAGTGCAGCAGCATCATCACAGCTCCCTACAACCTCAAACACCCCAGGCTCAAAAGATCTTCCTGCCTCAGCCTCCCGAGTGTAGCTGGGACTACAGGCGTGCCACCACACCCAGTTGATTTTTTTTTTCCTATTTTTTGTAGAGGTGGGGTCTCTGTGTGTTGCTCAGGCTGGTCTTGAACTCCTGGCCTCAAGCAGTTCTCCCACCTTAGCCTCCCAAAGTGCTAGGATTATAGACATAATCGTTATGATTTTGAGTCTTCAGTGTTGATACCTATAGCTCATCCATTCTCACCGCTGTATAGTATGCATTATAGGAATATATTAATAAAACAATTTATATATCCCCTCTCCAGTCACTTGGTATTGTCAGATTTTTTTTAGCTTTTGCTAGTCTGAGAGGTGTGAGATAGTATTTCATCAGAGTTTATTAATCAGTTGAGCATTTTTTCAGGTTTATTGCCCTGTCAGGTTTGCCCTTCTGTGAATTGCCTATTTATATCTTTTGCTGATTTTTCCATTGTGTTATTTATCTTTGTCATACTGATTTGAAGGAGCCATTTATTTAATCTAAATACTACCCTGCTGTTGAGTATATATATTACAAACATCATCTCCCATCTGAGAGTCGTTTTTATCCTTTTTCTTGGTGTTGCTGGAGAACAAAGGATTTTTTCGTTGTTGTTATTTTAATGTAGATGAATTTATCAACATTTTCCTGTATGATTTATACTTTCTGCTTCCTTTGGGAACTCTCCATACTAAAGTCATAAAATACATGCTTACATTTCCTTCTGAAAGTTTTCAAGTTTTGCTTTTTACATTTACATCTTTATTCACTGAAGAATTTATTTTTGCATATGTTTTAAAACAAAAATCCGTTTTTTAATTTTGTTCATATGGATAGCTAATTGTCCAGGTGCCTACTGTCACATATCAAGTTTCCATATATACAGGATTTGTTTCTTGGTTCTCTGTTGCATTGGTCTGTTTATCTCGACTTTAGTATCAAACTGTCTTGATAACTGTGCTTCATTATAAGAAATCTTCATTTCAAGTGTGATAACACCTTATTCTCCCACATTAGTATGGATGTCCTTGGGTCTTTGATCTTCCACAACTTTTACAAGCAGCTTACCAAACCATGAAAAGTCCCAAAGAGTTTTAATGGAATTGCATTGAATTTATAGATTAACTTGGGAGAAAAATTTTGAATACTTCTCATGAATACGGTATATTTTTCCCCATTGGTTATATTTAATGGTTTTCAATAATGTTCTATAATTTCCTTTATTGTTCATATTTTGTTGTGTTTATCTTAGTGTAATATTTTTAAAACTATTGAAAATACTGCCTTTTTCTAATTATATTTTCTAACTGATTATTGTTAGGGCCTAGAAATATAATTGATTTTTATATATTCATCTCATATTCAACCATTTTGCTAATCTCTGGTTAATTCCAATAATTTGTTTATTCTTTAGGGTTAATCATCATCTGTCAATAAGGATGATTTTTTTTTCCTTTTTATCCTTATACTCCTCTTCTTCCTACACTGGTCAGTGCCTCCAGAACAATGTTGAGTATTGACAGCTGGCTCCTTCATGCCGTTCCTGATTTTAAAGAAAATGATTTTAACATTTCACCATTAAGTGTGATATTTGCTGGTCATGTGTTAATTGATGCCTTTATTAGGTTAAGAAAATTCCTATCCGTAATTTTCCAGAGTTTACCATCTCTATATCATTTGGTTTAGATCACGACTTGGGTAACAAATGAGAGAAATTGGAGTCATGCCCTCAGTGACATAGAGAGTTTCCGTCTATAAAGTCTAGAAACCTGTGCAGAATGTGAAATAAGAACCCTTGAACAGTCATAATTTTTCTCAAGTATCACACTTCTCAGTTTCCAGTGGAATCCTTTCGGCTTTCATAGCCTCGGCAACCCATCTATCAGTGGAAAGAATCGGGCAGAGGCAAAGAGCATTGAGCTCATTCTACCCATGACCATATTCCAGAAAGATCCCAAGTAACCTGAAGCCCGTCTACGACAGTGTGTATCATCCCTGACACACCTGCGGGGGAGATATGTAGGCACTGGACCAGTCTGAGCTTTCCTTTCCTCCTCTGTGTTCCCATAACGGCCAAGTTGATGTGTGTGGGATAACTGAGTGCTCTCTAGATGGATAGATAGATGGATTTATATTAATATCTATTTTCTAACTCCACTATTATAAAAATTGCTACAGTGGACATCAATGTTCATAAAACTTGTTGGAAGATTGAGTCCTTGGGACAGTTTTAATGTTTAAATTTTTGAATAAGTAATATAGTCACATGGTTCAACATTCAGAAGGTGCAAAAGTTATATGTGATAAATTTTTCTCTTATGATTTCTTCTCCACAGAAGTAATTTATGTTACAAATTTGTTATGTATTCTTCCAAAGATACACTATGCATATTCAGGCCAACATTTAGGTATACACCTATTCCTTTTTCAGTCCTTTTACCCAATTGGTAGTACAGAGAAATGGGACTGGACAGTCCCACTGGTGATTGAGTCCACAGGTAAAGCCTTCAGTGCTGTCCTGCTGTTGCAGAGAGTCCAGTGCAGGCCTGTGCAATGCACTGCTTTATGGAAGTTTTATATCACATGTTACATAAACAATTGGAAATTTCCAGGTATTGTTGCTGTACAGGCAATTTATCTGGTTAAGTGAAGATAAAGGAAACTTATCTGGCTGACTTGTTCTCTTTTGCAATTGGTTTGGTAGCAAATCTGGGGCATTTTAATTTAAAGATAAGCATGGTTTTTGATATGTTTGTACAAATTGCAATCATCAGTTGTAATAAAATTCCACAGTAGACCTCACTCTATATATTGTTTGACCTCTTGCTTTTTTCACTTAATATTTATGCACATTTTAAGGCTCTTGGTACATACTACCAAATTGCTTTCCTTTTAATCAGGCATTTTTATATCTGAGGACTTACTATGCACCAGGCACAGTGGTAGGCGCTGGGTGCTGCACTGGCGAGCAGGATTGTCACTGTACCTGCCGGCATGACAGTCTACCAGAAAGACAGTTGTTAACCAGATAGCCACACCATATGCACACATACATGTGTATGTCAATAACCATAAGCATGGTGCATGTCAAGAGAGCACAAGAACTGGGCAGTGAGAGCGTAAAACAGGAGTCCCAGCCTTGCCCAGTGACTCAGAGAAGGCTCCTCTGAGGAGTTAGCTTTGTGATTGAGATCGGATCGTTTCAATAGGAATTAACTAAACATTTTGTGGCAGCATCAGGGTAAAGGGGTGGGTAGCATTCTAGGCTAGTAATTTAAAAAAATGCAAATTTAAAGAATAACTAAGAATCATTCCACATATTAAACTTGTACCCTAAATGTATAAAAAAAAACACCAAAAACTATGTAGAGAAATGGAAACAGTCATTCCTTTGAGGACACAATTTGACAATGTTTATTAAGAATCATAAAAATGTCCGTATTCAAATGTTATACACTTTTTGATTGTTGGTATTGTGAGTATCCAAACCGAATTGATTGAAACCTGGCTCTGGGTAACTTAAACACTCCTGCCTCCTGTGCAGGCATCAGAGCCAGCACCTCTGAGCAGGGCCCTGGACGGGCTCAGCTTCTTGGCACCTGACCGGCAAACCCTGTACGAAGCGTGGCGGTTTCCCAGGTCTCTAGTTGCAGGTTATCTAGGGGTATACCTTGGCTTACAAGCTGCCCCCCTGTGCAGTGCAGCTGTCCACGGTGTTCCACTGAAGAATCTGCTCTCACCAACTTCACTGGAATGAGTCGTGAGACTAAAACTAAGCAACAAAATTTCACGTACGTAATGATTTCTCTTCTGAGAAAGCTGAAAGTTGTTGCTGTTCTGTGATTGCCACAGTAGCACCAGTGCATTTCTTAGGCATTTTTTAAAAAAATGGGAAATCACACTTTATACAATCTATCTGTAACATAGTTTCAGAATTAAAAATGTGTGCGTGCGTGAGATTGTTATTAGACTCCAAATATACCATTCTCTAAATAAGGGTAAAAACTTACATGACTTTAAAATAGAAGTAATTATATAGAACTCTGAACTACCTGAGGAAATAAAAATAAAAGTAGGAAAGAGTTTTTGCTTTGAGAAAAAGGTGGTCGAGGCACTGGCCAACCATAACCGCAGGCGCTGGCCTGGGCTGTTTCTCATTCAGAAGTTCCCTCCCCTTGTCCCGGCCGCCCCTCCCCCAGAGTCTAATCAAAGGATTAGCCTACAGGTTTGGAAACAACAGCAGCTTGAGTTGAAGGCTTTTTTTCCCCCTTGTGTTTAAATGCAGGAACTAGAGAAGTCTTTGGCTAACTGGACTCAGAACTTGAAAGAACTTCAGACTATGAAGGCAGACTTAACCCGGCACATTCTTGTGGAGGACGTGATGGTTTTGAAGGAGCAGACAGAGCATTTGCACAGACAATGGGAGGACCTCTGCTTAAGAGTAAGTCAGTTCACTGCAGGGCACGGCTGTTTTGGAATTGACTGAAATGTCTCTGAGGGACAAAGTAGAAAGGAGCTTAATTTCATTGAACCAGAAGCCCTTTTCAGTGGGACCTGTGGCCAGTGCTGTTCCTTTAGAAGGCAGCAACATGGTTTAAGAGATTTGACCCTTTTGTTTCTCCAGCAGTAAATGCTGGAAGTTTGCATGCTTTTAATGACCTTTTTAAAAAGTCACCTGAAGTGGGGACAGAAATTGCAATTCTGATCAGATGTGTGGACTCTGCTTTCTGCTCTCTGGCTTGTGTAGGTGACAAGTACTAATCCGTTTATTAGAACCAGGACTCAGTGAAGAAGGTCTCTTTTCCGCCTTACTAGGGGGTATCTTCTGGGCCTCGCTGCTGGAGTCTTAACTTCGTGCCCTCAGGCATGGGAGAACTCTGCATTCACAGGCAATCTGATGTTTATTTCAAATAGTTTGTTTCTAAAACTCTCTAAAAGAAATGATCAATGGCTACATTTAGTATCTCAGCAGATGACTTCTACTTATTAAGAATGGAATTGTGGTTAGAGTATTATACAATGTATGTCTGTGACAGGATCGGGATGGAATTAAAGGGTTCAAATAGTCTTAAAGATCTTTGTTTAAAGAACGCATAATTCTTAGGAAGAGTCTTTAATCTCATTTTTGTGAATTAACAGATGTATTTAAAAAGTTGAAATTCAGCTACTTTTTCCTTCTTGATTTTAGTATTTGATATTTATAATGTACTCTAATTGTAAATATCCTTTTAGAATTTTTATTCAAAATTCATATAAAAGAAAATATTTAGAATATATGAAAAGTATCCTAAAAGTTAAGGTAGACCTGGAGACTGGAGCCCAGATATTCCTAATTGTTACCGTTGTGAAATCAATCAGAATGGCGCTGTGCAAAATGGCAGGATTTTTTAAAGCTAAGATAAATAAATGCCTCAAGGAATAGAAACACAAAACTTTTTTTTTAGGGATAGTTTTTCAAGCCTTTTTAATACATTTGTCTGGGTAGGATGTCTAAGTATTCAGTATTTTTGCCTCACTCTGAAAAGAGCAGAGTCTTTTTTGTACATAGCCGGAAAATCTCAGGGAGTTCAACTTTGGTTTTCCTGTCTATAAAGTGGAGTATTAAAACTTTACTGAAAGAACCCTTTTAACTCTGAGATTCTAAAGATTTTTAAAACCTGAGAATACTTTTGTACATTTAATAAGACTGATTTGCATTATTTACGTTTATATTTATTTAAGTAATTTTAAACCTTTAAAGAAGAGGATGCTTTGCCGACTGATGTCAGCTTAGGGGTTGCTTTTGCATAATAGAGCATTGGGTACTTTGGGGTCAGCCTGCTTACTGCAGACCAGTTTTCGGTGACATTTCCACGATTTCCATCCAAAAGCCACAGTGCATAATGGGAAGGTAGATTAAATGGGCTATATGCATTGTTTTGGTTTTTGTTTTATTTTACTTTGTTTTGAAGTACAATACTAGAATATTTAAATGACTTTAATTTTCCCGGTCAATTTGTATTACAAATATTTGCTTTACATTGTATCTGCATTATAGTTTTTAAATTAAATAGATAGGACATTAACCTTACGTAAGTATAAGGACTTAATCAGTTGTTAGAAGGGAAAGGATTTGGATCATAAAGTTATAAATTAGCATGTAGTAAGCAGTCAATTAATGCACATTGAAAGAACAAGACCAAAAGGAATTTGGGTGATGCTTAATATACTCATCTAGCCTTTCCTCTTTCTAATTTTTAATATAACCTGATAGTAATAGATATGTATTGGGTAAAACTCAGTCCGTTCAGTCAGGTACACTTCAGAAAGTCATTACTTCTTACGACATTTATCAGAGTACGTGTAAGGAACTTACGTTTTTAAAAGGTGGAAACTTAGAGGTTTAAGTCTATAGAGGTATTGATTACAATGAATGAAATGCGCAGTCCTTTTGATGCGGGGGAGAGGTGGGGGTGCTTTCCTTCCTGAGCTGTGCCCAGCCGCCAAATGCATTTTCACTCACAGGTGGCCATACGCAAACAGGAGATCGAAGACAGACTCAACTCGTGGATCGTATTCAATGAAAAAAATAAAGAGTTGTGTGCATGGCTGGTGCAGATGGAGAACAAAGTTCTACAGACAGTGGATATTAGCATCGAAGAAATGATTGAAAAGTTACAGAAGGTGAGCCGAGGAGTGCCCGGGCGGATGCAGATATGACAGCCAGGGAATTCTCTGCCCTCCTCTCTTCCAGACCCAAAGAGGTAGAACATTACAGGTGTGTTCCCAGGAGCATTTTAGAAATTCAGAGGGACTTTTTCACTATGTTTGATCCTTCTGAGAGAAAAGTTGGAAAGGAGAAGATTCCAGAGGATGGGAAGTATGAGACCATTCTAGGTGGGCATGGTACTGAAGAGGTTGCTTTGTCTCAGGAAGTCTGGCCCGAAAGGGGGTTCACATCTCCTTAAACATTAGTTCATGCCCCTCAGTTAGGGTTAGGGAGGGTTACGGTTTCTCTAGTCGTTGCTAAGGACCTCCCTTTGCCAAAGGGGAGAGGCTGACAGGAATGAGGCTCATAATTTTTTTTTTTTTTTTTGAGACAGAGTCTTACTCTTTTGCCCGGACTAGAGTGCTGTGGCGTCAGCCTAGCTCACAGCAACCTCAAACTCCTGGGCTCAAGCGATCCTTCTGCCTCAGCCTCCCGAGTAGCTGGGACTACAGGCATGTGCCACCATGCCTGGCTAATTTTTTCTATATATTTTTTAGTTGTCCAATTAATTTCTTTCTATTGTTTTTTTTTAGTAGAGAACAGGGTCTTGCTCTTGCTCAGGCTGGTTTCGAACTCCTGAGCTCAAACAATCCGCCCGCCTTGGCCTCCCAGAGTGCTAGGATTACAGGCGTGAGCCACCGCGCCCTGCCGAGGCTCATAATTTTAAAACAGTCACTAATTACAGGGAAAGATAATGAAAACATTCTTGCTGCAGTCACCCAAAACACTACTCAGTCAAACCTCAGAAGGACTTTCACTGATATCAGGCTAATTTAGTTATGCTCGGTTGTCCTCAGCTCCCAATAGGTTAGATTAGAAGAAATCTGTGAGAGGAAACAAAGCGGCTTTATTTTTCTTTCTTATTTTTTAACTAAGAGCCTTATTTCTGATTTTTTTTGTTTGTTTGTTTTAAATTGAGACGAGGTCTTGCTATGTGGCCCAGGCTGGTATCAAACTCATAGGCTCAAGTGGTCCTCTCACCTTGGCCTCCCAAATAGCTGGGACAACACACAGGCCACCAGAAGGGCTTTTGAATTAAGAAAGTAACTACTGCCTTGCATATTTCACATTTACCTGTGGGGTGTTGCTTGACTTTTTAGCTACTCACTGAAGAGTTGCATTAAAAGGTATGAGAATTTTTTTTTTTTTTTTTTTTTTTAATGTCAAAAGGCCGCTCTGTGTGGCTGGAAAAGAAATGAATTTTTGGTAACAATCCAGGCTTTGTATTTTGATGCCTTTGCCAGGACTGCATGGAAGAGATAAACTTGTTTAGTGAAAATAAGTTACAGTTAAAGCAGATGGGTGACCAGTTGATCAAGGCCAGCAACAAAACAAGAGCTTCTGAGATCGACGACAAGCTCAACAAAATCAACGATCGCTGGCAACATCTATTTGATGTCATTGGATCAAGGTAAGAACTGGACTAAAAATAATTCTTGCACTCTAGGTATAGTGGTTACTTCACAGATTTGGTAAACTCAGCCCAGTCTTTTTCTAAGATAATCTGCAGTTTTATAAATTTAGAAATTAAGGCAAAGTTTGGTAAGAATGAGTGGAAATTCTTGTTTCAACATTACAGGAAATTACATTTCAGTATATCCCACCTTAATATTTTTTTCTTTTTAATTATGGGTACGTAATAGTTGTATATCTTTACAGGGTACATGTGATGTTTTGCTACAGGCATACAACATGAATTAATCAAAGCAGGGTGATTGAGGTATCCACCACCTCAGCCATTTACCGTTTCTTTGCGTTAGGAACATTCCAGTTCCACTCGTAGTTATTTTAAAGTTTTGAGGAGGTATTATTTAGAAACTCTGCTTTAGCACTCGCGTGTCCCCCGGTGAGTCACACCTGCCTGTTACTGCCTTGCTGTGTTGGCTGTAGGTAGGTGAGGGCGCAGGCCTCGTTTCTGGAGCTGGGGGTCTGTGACTGCCCCCACGGCACACTCGAGGCAGAGGTCCTCAGGGTGTGTGCTTGGAGTGCCAGGTCTCCGATGGGCATTGTGTCCACTGGTGAATATCGCTTTGATTCGTGGTCAGTGTCTTGTCCACAGGCCAGCTAAGGTGTGGACCTGGGCATGGCCAACTCCTAAATCAAAGGACCCCAAATCAGAACTATGTTCTCCAGTGCAGTCTTATCAGAAAGAGAGCTGATGATTTTATCTCCCTTCGAAAAATGGTAATAATGCCCAAAGCTTTTAAATGCCTTCTGTCTTTAGATTCTCTCTAAAGATAGACCCCAGCTGAAGCGTTTCTCTCTGGCAACCTGACCCACAGAACAGTCCCCCTGCCTTAGGACCACTGATGTGCAGCCTTGCATTTCCACTGCCTGCACAAGTCTTTTACGTTACAGTGTGCTCGGATGTTTTGAGCACATACGTGATTTGGAATATATGGGAGAACTTGTAAGGTGAATGAAGAATTGGCGGTGATGAAAGTAAGATATCTTAATAGTCTAGGAGCATGGCTCACACATGTAATCCTAGCACTCTGGTAGGCCAGAGGATTGCTTGAGGTCAGGAGTTTGAGACCAGCCTGAGCAAGAGCAAGACCCCGTCTCTACTAAAAATAGAAAAAATTAGCCGGGCATGGTACCTGTACCTGTTGTCCCAGCTACTTGGGAGGCTGAGGCAGGAGGATCGCTTGAGCCCAGGAGTTTGAGGTTGCAGTGAGCTAGGCTGACGCCACGGCACTCTAGCCCGGGCAACAGAGCCAGACTCTGTCTCAAAAAAAAAAAAAGATAACTCTTAATAATGTGGCATATTCCTCTACTTTATTGTTTACTGGAAATCATAGGTAAACCTGACTCAGTCAGCAAAGGCACCAGACTAAGTGCTGTGAGAATCGCAGGCAGGAAGTAAGATGAGTCAATTATGTTAATGGAAGCGAACATCCGAGCAGTGGTAAAGCTGAGTGGTTTCAGAGCTCAGATCACATCTTCCTGGGGGTGGGGCTGTGGGTTGGGACAAGCCTCACAGAGGGGCTGCGTTCCCAGATGGCCCTGAATGGGGGTTTTGGGGTTCTCAACAGCTGCTGGCGGCAGAGAGGGAGACATGTGTTGGGAGCAAACAGGTACGGGACTGGAGCAGCAGCAAAGCTGTTCAGGAAGGGACGAGAAGCCCTGCCGGCCCACGTGTAGGAGGTGAAGCTATTAATAGAAAGCTCAGTTAAGACTAAGTCTTAAGAGACTTTAACTCTCAGCTAAAGACTTGGCCTCCTAAATAAAATCTGAGTCATTCGTGGTTTCTTAGCAGAGGAAAAGACACACATTGGGGTGATTTGGCAGCATAGGCTGGGCAGGGTTCAACTTCTCTCCACAGCCAGTCGGAATCCATGGCGGTGACCTAAGTAAGATTTAAGAGCCCAGGTATCAAGCCATTCCTGACTTTACCACTTATTCACTGTGGAAACTTGAGTATGGGATTTAACCTCCTTGAGCCTCAGTTTCTCAGTCTGTAAAATGTGTCTAACAGCACTGCTCACGGCAGAGCTCTGTCCACTGCGAGCATGAATGATACATGCCATGCATTTGGCACAGAACCAGCATGGCACATTGGGGCCAGTGTTTATCAAGTAGTTATTTTCATTCTTTTTCCCTAAGATGACTCTAAGTCCCATGTTTGTTGAGTGGGAGATGATTCCATCAGTTACGTCTAATGACAAGAGGTCTTTCCTCCATGAGGCCAGGGGTTTCACTATCTTATTCCCAGGGCTTGGAATAGTACTTTGGGTATTTGTTGAAATGAATGAATGTTTCAGTGCATAATAATATAATTTCTGTTGGTTAAATTGTGTCTTTGTCATTGTCTTTATATTCTAAGTCATCTCGGGCACTTGGCACTAGACAAGGGTACAATGACATCACACCTATTTATTCATGGATGATTCAGGAGCAAGATCTAGCGATGCTTCCTGAAGACCAGAGTGACGGTCCATTCTTTTCTTTTTTTTTTTTTT